AAACCAAATCGAATTGTTCTAAGGCTTCCCATACTGTAAGACGAACCATCTTTTTTTCGCGCTTCGACATAAAATTTCTTAAGAACTTGAGCAAGTTCGCTTTTTTCGGTCGGTTCTGGTATTCCTTTTTCATTTAGATATTCGTAAAATACTTCCTTAGCCACTTTATACGTTCTTTTCGTGTTATCTGCGTCTTTGTTTTCGAGTAATTTTTGTATTTCGTCTTCTGAAAAGTTTGAAAACCTATGCATATTCACATTGTTCAAAATTTTGCTTTGCTAGTTTCCCTTTGTTTGTGTTAAATAGATACCGCTTGCTAATCATCGCAGGCTCATTTGCAGATAACTCAGTTTAGTCAGTTATCTGCTAGCAGATAACTGAATTTTGTGTAGGTTGCGTGATTGCGCGATTTAACTGTAAGCTCTTAGCCAATCAAATTGCTTTTACCAACTACAATGTATAATAATAATTATTATTTACTCTCTAACAGCAGATGATCTTACTCATCAAGGGCAATTTTGTACCTTGATGAGTAATATGCATACAAAATACTAAACTGTTTCATATATTACATGTTTTATGTCTGAACCTTTGTCTTTGACATTGCAACAAAATAGGTTTGGGTGGGGTAAAACATTTTTCTGGCATTCCACCGGTGGGGTAGCTAGAAATTTTGTTTCAAAAAAGGTGGGGTAATGATTTTTTCCGGCTTCATTATACTTTCTCTTCGGCCCCCACCCCTGCCATAAATAATGACCGGTCCCTTAGAATATCTGGATCTGATATATATAATTTTACTCCATTCATCAGTAAATTTGAAACTTTGACCGGCTAATATTATTGCTTACCGGACACACATGACCAGTAAAATTTAATGGGAAAATGCGCCCACGAGCTGACTTTCGTTTCCCAACTTACTTGTCATTAAAACTTTATGGCTTATGGATATATTATGGCAAACAACTGTTTTGTTTGTCACCATCCAAATACTGAATATTCTTATGTAAATTGCGCGCGGTGACCATATTTTAGACAAAAATTCATAGCAAACGAATTTTTCTCTTCAACATTTGTAGTTTTTTTCTCGTTATGTAATCTTAATCTCGCCAAGATTAAGATAAAAAGTGAGTATTTTCTTCATAGGCATACGGGGCTGATGCTTTCCACGGAGGCAGTTGCCCCCCCCCCCCCAGCCCCCCTGTCTCGTACGCCTATGATTTTGTTGAGAAGTCAAAACACTAATGAAATAAAAATAAACTTTTCTTTGAAATTTAAACAAATGATGTTGTAATATCTTGTACCAGGTCCTAACCATTATTTGTATGTGATGAATTAATATATTTAGTTTTGTCATATGATTCGTACCTAAATATTTTCTTGCATATCAAAATCCAAGCATTAATATCTTCGTACTGATATATCTTGGCAAGCTTCGTTCGATTCCTCTGTTTACCTCTGTTTTTATAGATATAGAAGTATGTCGGGAATTTTGGCTGCTGCTGAAACAGGAAATTTTCAGGAAGTAAAACGGTTGGTTGAATCAGGTGTTGAGGTTAGTGAAAAAGACGATGATGGCAAGACAGTTCTTCATTATGCTGCATCCGGTTCGCTGGAGCTTGTCAAATATTTAGTTGAACAAGGTGCTGATGTAAATTGTAAGAACGTGGACAATAAAACTGCTCTTCACTATGCTGCTTTTAAAGATTCATTGGAAATTGTCAAATATTTAGTTGAACATGGTGCGGATGTAAATTTCGAAAAGAATGGCAATGGTAGTCCTCTTCATTACGCTGCCAAACTGAATTCACTTGAAATGGTCAAATGTTTACTTCAACATGGTGCTGATATAAATTGTAAAAACGCGGAAAATGAAAGTGCTCTTCACTATGCTGCTTACTATAATTCATTGGAAGTTGTGAAATATTTAGTTAAACTTGGCGCGGAAGTAAATTTCGAAAACAACGACAATGATAGTCCTCTTCACTATGCTGCTGAACAGAATTCACTGGAAATGATAAAATATTTAGTTGAACATGGTTCTGATGTTAATTCTAAAAGCAAGAGTAATGCCACTGCTTTGAGTTTAGCTGTTAGAACTGGATCACTGGAAATTGTCAAATATTTAGTTGAACATGGTGCAGATGTTAATTTTGAAAAGAATGGCAATGCTAGTCCTCTTCACTTTGCAGCCCAACTGAATTCACTTGAAATGGTCAAATATTTACTTCAACATGGCGCTGATATAAATTGTAAGAACGTGGAAAATAAAACTGCTCTTCACTATGCTGCTCACTATAAATCATTGGAAGTTGTGAAATATTTAGTTGAGCATGGCGCGGAAGTAAATTTTGAAAACAACGACAATGATAGTCCTCTTCACTATGCTGCTGAACAGATTTCACTGGAAATGATAAAATATTTAGTTGAACATGGTGCTGATATTAATTCTAAAAGCAAGAGTAATGCCACTGCTTTGAGTTTAGCTGTTAGAACTGGATCACTGGAAACTGTCAAATATTTAGTTGAACATGGTGCGAATGTAAACTGTGAAAGCAGTGACAATGATAGTCCTCTTCACTATGGTGCTAAAAAGGGTTCACTAAACATTGTGAAATATTTAATTCAGAAAGGTGCGAATGTGAATTTCAAAAATGAGTGGGATATAACTGCTCTTCACTATGCTGTTGAGTCGGGTTCACCGGAAGTTGTCAAATATTTAGTTGAACATGATGTTGATGTAAATTGTAAAAGCAAGTGTAAGGCCACTGCTCTGCATTTTGCTGTTAGAAATGGTTCGCTAGCAATAGTCAAATATTTGGTTAAGAATGGTGCTAAGGTTACAGCAAAAGCACGACGTGGAGAACAAACAGTTCTATATTGGGCATGTAGAGAGGGGAATGAATTAATAGTTGACTACCTTCTGCAACATGGTGCAATCAAAGACATTCATAAAACGGATCGTTTGGGGCGTTGTTGTTTGGGTAAAGCATGCTATGATGGCAATACTGCTGTAGTTCAAACATTTCTGAAGTTTAAAGTTGATATACGAAGGGAGGTGGAACTTCTATGTGGCAATGAAGAGATCGCGCATATTCTCAATCGGGAACTAAACAAATCCAGTAAACATCGCGAGAAAATTGATAAATTGAAAGCATTGCGTGATGAAAAGTTAATAAAGGTAATAGATTTTCAACTATATTTTCCCCGAGCCAACGGCGCTTTCGGCCGTAAGCCCGGGCCGAGGGTACCACTTCCGCTCGGCTATTTACATCTGAGAAAAGAAATGAATTAACGAAATCTAAAGTTCATCAATAATGCGGGCGCGTGACTTTGTTTCATGGGTGGACCTCCTGATCTCAAAAGAATGGCGAATTTTAGGAGTGGATTGAATTTAATGAGTAGGATTTTAAAAAAATCAATCAGAAACCCGAAAAATCGTTTGATGAGACGAGCAGCCAAACAGTATATTTGTGTTTACAAAATAATCAGGAGTAATAGATTGCAGAAAATGATCAACCCTAAGCGTATGAAATGAAATGAACAAGACAGCGTATTAAGTGTATTTTATGAATTACCGTATTTACTCGTTTAAGCGCCAACCTCCTACCTATATTACTACTTAGGCTAACAATAATCAACTTACCTTTTGCTTGAACGGAAGGTTTTCATCTATGGCTCTGCCAAAATGCGAACATTTTGCACAGAAATTCGCACAGTTTGCTGTCAACAACTTAGTACCGCTGCATATTAATTAAATAACTGTTGTCACCCAATATTTGGTGAAACTTCATGTAAGCCTGTCCAAAGGAGAGAGTGGGCATTGCAGTATAACTTAGTGGCTAGCGAAAAACTGAGCGCGGAGCGGACGACATTGGTGAAACATGAATCATATGAAGTACCTTAATTTGGTATTTCAAAGTTTTACTTTGGATAATTAGGCAGTCTATCAGAGGAGGAATGAGGGTCTTCCCACAATGCATTGCGTCTAATTATTATTCACAATTACGATTTTCAACGAACGTTTGGCGAAAAGTTGTTGAAATACATTGCGATTTTGG